CGAAGACATCAAGTGTAGTTGAAACTTTGACTTCAGTTAACCATGTCAATATATGCAAAATTACAATAAATACATTAATTTTTGGTTGGGGTGGATGCCAAGGGAATCATTGGACATCCTCTTATCATGTTTTTATTTAACTAGTAAGAGTATGATAATGCTTGGATCCTCAATGTGCGATTTTCTATTAAAAAATGTGAGATAAGAGCACTTATGGTTCCCTTTTTTATCCTTTTTTTTCAAGTCAAGGATTCTATGATTTATTTTTTCTTTTTTATTATTATTATTATTATTAATATTAATATTATTATTATTATTATTATTATTATTATTATTATTATTAATTTTTTTTTTTATTATTATTTTTTTGAGTGAGAAATTATTATTATTTTTTTTTGAGTGGGATATGGGGCATCAATGGCACAATATAAAGAATTTACCCACTGTGGCTGCTCTGATTATTATTTGGATAAATGGATTGGACCTCAATGTACAATTTTTCTATTAAAAAATGAGACATAAGACAACTTATGTTTCCCTTTTCATCCTTTCATATATTTTTTTTTTTAAGTGGGAAGGATTCTATTATTATTATTATATTATTTTATTTTTTTTATTTTTTTTATTTATTTTTATTTATTTATTTATTTTTGGAGTGGGGAATGGGGGATCGATGGCACAATATAAAGAATTTGCCCACCATAGCTGCTCCGATTATTGTTTGGATATTTATATGTGATGTATATAGATAAAGTTTCTTGATCTTGTTTACATTTGGGCTCTATAGTCAATTGAATTAATGCTGTATGTTATCAAATTCAAAGTGTGCACAACAACATTTTTACATATGCAGTCAAGTGTAAAACCTGTTTGCACATTTGCCAAGCAGTGTTAATCTTTTGTTGCAACAAGTAGAATTGATTATAAATGCTACAAATAGTATATTAGCCAGTTTTGATATACTTTAGGTTTACGCATGATGTGGGACGTAGCAACTCGAAAGATCCTGGAAATCAGCGCGAGGCTTCTGCGCTCCGTGATGAAGTACGTCTTCCAATAATTTTTTATGATTTAAAGCTAACTTCTGAAATACACGACTGAATATTTTTAGTCATATTTATGTTTCTCACTCGTAATTCTTTTTTTATATATTATATGTACCTAAGATAACTATAGCTTCGGATCATGCATTATCTTACTGGATTAACATTGAACTTGAATTGCAGCTTGACATGCTACAAGAAGAGAATGAAGTAATTCTAGATAAGGTGAGTCATCTCTCCTGTCCCTGTCCATCTTCCCCTCCATGAAGAAAGAGAATAAAAGTAGAAAGAAATTCAAGCAAAGAAGGAAATAAGAAGGAAACATTGGAGGCCTTTATGCTTATGAACTTTGTCATCTGGAACATAATGACCAATTTCTCCCACAGCTTCGTCGTGCAGAAGAAAAACGCGAAGAAGCGGAGGCCAGAGCCAGAGAGCTAGAGAAACAGGTTAAAACTTGATAGTCCTTGATTTCCATTTCTTCAATGCGCCATCATTGTATTTATCTATAGTTGTAAAATGCTGTGAAGTTTGGTTTTTTTGGTTTTATCCATGTTTACTGGTGCTGCTCTCCCTCTTTCTCATGCTACATCTTACTTAAATTAATTACATATAATGATCAATAAGTTTATGGATATTCAGATTATATATAGTAAGTTTTCTGGGTTGCGAAGAAAATCTTTTTGAGTTATTATTGCTTGCAGTCGTGATGACATATTGACTTTGTTTGGTCACTTCTTTTCTTAATCACTGTAAAATCTTGCATAGAGATAGCCCAGTATTTTTCACAACGAATCAATCAATGTTTGAAATTTCAACTTTGTCACTTGCTCTTTGAATTATTCTGTTATCTCTGCTATCTTTTGGAGGTGAATTAGTTTTATTCATGGTTATTATATTCAATGCTTTAATTATATATTTACAGGTTGCTTCCCTGGGAGAAGGTGTATCCTTGGAAGCTAAATTGTTGAGCCGGTAAATCAATTTTTAATTTGTGTCATAAGCCACTCAACTACATTGGTTTGATGCAGTGTATTTTATTTGCAGGAAGGAAGCAGCTCTACGTCAAAGAGAGGTGAGTCCAAGATGAACTTAATATTGGAAATTCCTCTCCATTATGAATTCCTTTATTGACAGATGGAATATATACTAATATTTTATTTTGTCATGTCTGTGTATAGATAAATGTGTGCTCTCTCACATATAAACACATCCCCCACGCCTAAGATCTTATGCTTCAAATGGGTTTCTATTACAGGCTGCTCTCATAGCTGCCAAACAGACGAAGGATGGTAGAGATGAAGAAATTTCAGCCCTTCGTGTAAAACTTCAGGTTGGTTTGTGCTATTTAGTGGTACTCAGGTCTTTTTTTTTCACGTTACTAACCATTCCTTGCCTTCTCAAATTGTTCTGTTATGTGAATATTTTGTCAGAACTTAAAAGAGGATGCTGGTAATGCTGTGGAACAGCTTCATGAAGTTGAATCTGAAGCAAAAGCCCTTCGAACGATGACACAGAGAATGATTTTGACGCACGAAGAGATGGTTGTCCTGTAAATTCTTGTTAGATTTAGTACCAGCTCTCTGACAACATTTAACAGAGTTCTAACATTCATTCTTCTCATTTTTGTTTTCCATTCTAGGAGGAGGTTGTTCTAAAGAGGTGTTGGCTTGCTCGTTACTGGACCTTAGCATCACGTTATGGTAATGTACTTTAAACTATTTCTATGTAAAAAGGCACAAATGCAACAGGCGGGCAGTTTTTTTTATCTGCTCCTCCTGTCACCCTGCCTTGCTTTATGTTCTAAAGTTTCTGTTGTGAATGCTCACGTGCCAGAATTTTGAAGTGTTACTTTATGAAAAAAGTACATCCTTTGTCCCCAACTTTACGAAATAGAGCACTTAAAATCCCATTCAATCTTCCTGGCATATACTTCCCCAAACTTTTAATTTCACTACAAGTAGGTCAATCTTTATTTTCTTTTAAAACAATTAGAAAAGAAAAAGAAACGGAAAGAAAAGAAAACGAATAAAGAAAAGAAAAACCAGCCACCCGCAACTACCATCACTGCCACCCACCCCTCCAAAACCCCCGTTGACATAGATCTAGTCCTGCTTCGCAAGGCTTTGCAATGTCAAGTCTGGTGAAAATCTGAAACTAGAGCTTCAATAAATTCTGGATCTGGCAAAGAAATAACATGGATTTCCATTAGCGACCTTGTAAAGTGGTTTGCAAGTGCCAGTGATGTAATGTGGTTATTAATCCTTTGCAAAATTGATGCCCAGAAAACTAGTTGATTAGTCAAGGAATAATTTGTTGATACTAGAAATGAGAACTACCAGTAGGCATAAAGTTTTCGAGTTGCTCAACCCAGATATGTGCTTTCAGTTGGAAGTACTGAAAGCATGAAAATCACAGACAGAAAGTACAGTGATTAACGATTTGCTTTTTGCCATTTTTGCTTCTTGATATTATTTTGGTGGAATAAATTTGCAATCCATTTTTTTCTTCCATTTCAATTGTTCTTCTTGCTATGTATTTGATTTTGGGGCTGGATACTGGAGGTGGCAGCTATGCCACTATGGTAGGAGATTGTGGAAGGCGAATGGATGGGGAACAATGGCTGGTGCTGGGCTTTGGGGATGGGATGGTGTTGGTGTTGCTGGGTAGGGTAAGGGCAGGAGGCAATGGTGCTAGGAAGGGGTAGGGCTGGTGATTCTGAGGTGTTATTTTATCTTTTTGCCTTGTTTTGTTTTGTTTTATTTGTTTTGGTGAGAGATAACTTTGGTTTACTGAAAATATCTCTCAAAATAAAGGTCATGTGCAAGGCATGTACTCAGAAAAATTGACGGATTCCATCCAGTAGGGACCTATGCACTGAAACTGTAAGTTTATGGAGATACATGTCAAGAAAAATCGAATGGGGAACTTAGTGTTGTACTTTTTGAAGTTTAAACCCTGACCATGATTTACCCCTATTAATATCATTGGGTTGTATAATCTTAAGATCTGCTATTTATATTGGTTCCTAACACCATTCTGATGTAAGTGGTAGAGAAAAAGAAATTAGTCTTAAAAATTTAAAATCAGCTAATTAGTGATGATTATTTTTTATTTTGGGTCATACTTTTCTGCTTTACAGGAATCTGTGCAGATATTGCAGTCTCAAAGTACGAGCACTGGTCATCCCTAGCGCCTCTGCCCTTCGAGGTTGTCACTTCTGCCGGACAGAAGGCGAGAGAGGAAACCTGGGATGGTGCCAACTTGTTCCTTGAAACGTTTTACCTGTTCCATAGTCTGCAACAAATATATTTATGCTGCTACTTATTTATATTGGAGTACTTAGCTAAGCGAGGCTTTTATTCTTTCTGGTGCTGAGCAGGTGGAGATGATTCAGATCGGAGCAAACTTGTACATGATTTAAACAATTTAACTGGGGAAGGAAATATCGAGAGTATGCTTTCGGTTGAAATGGGTTTGAGGGAATTAGCTTCTTTGAAGGTTCTTTTCTTTTCTTTTTTTTTTAAGGTTTTTTTTTTTTTTTTTTTTTTTTTTTCATATAAATATAAATTTACATCCGTATCATATGCCTCTTTGGATTCTCACTCACTAATATTAATCATAGGTTGAGGATGCTGTTGTGCTCGCATTGGCTCAAAACAGACGTTCAACTTTGGTTCGGCAATCGTTGTCTGGTATTGTTCACCAAGTGTCTGGCTGTATATGCTTCTTACATCCACCCTCCCCCTCATGCTACAGTAGTCCTGAATTGATTTTCTCTCGAGGAATATGAAAGTTGAACTAAATGTATTTTCTACTCTAGAACACAGTTAGAGTTCATTTTCTGTTGCTGGACTTGTTCTTTAGTCCTTGTGAAACAGCTACCTCATAGTTTTTCTCCTCAGCTATTCGCTGCTACTATTTGAGCACACTGAAATTTTGAGTCTGCTTTATATCTTTTAAGATCAAATCCAGCTTCTTAAGGTTTCCTTCAATTTTAATAATAGTAGAAAGAGGCCTGCATCTTGTGTACAAAAATTACCGCATCTTCTTAAGAAGTCCCTTCTCCCATATATTTGCGTGTGAGTATTTTATTGATGATGAGCAGATAACACAACATTTTGTATGATAGCCCACACCATGTTAGCTGCAGTTTGTTGGTGTTGAATACGCAACATAGTATACTATCTACAGTTATTTTCAGACAGTTCTCATTGTGCTTTTGCAGATCCTAAGCCATCTGGAGATCCCAATTTCATGGTGTTATCTGGTGAGAAATGTACTCCATTTATTCTCCTTTCTATGAGAAAAGTTATCTTAATTCTATTTACTAATTTTTTATTGTAGTTCTATTTGCTAATTTTGTTGCATAGGCCGAAAAATCATCTTTACTTTGTTGTAATGTGTTCTGCTTTAATTTGTATTGAAATCCGGCTACTCTCTAATCTTGTGCCCCATGGAAAATTCAGAAAGTAGATTCGCTGGCAATTTACTTGATCTGTTTCACCGCCTTTCTGAAGCTCTCTCTCTCAAATACAGTTTACAAATATCAGTTACCTTTCAACCTATAATTGCCTTAGAGCTAATTGTATATATCCTCTTTCAAAATAAAAAGAAGAAATAGAATTACAATGCAAAAAAAATTCTGAATATGAGTTTCTGCGTGATGTGCTTAGAAGACACCCAAACATGCTCGTGGGTGGTTTCTGCAGAAAGTATATACAACTTGCAAATTCTATTAAGAGGAGCTTGAGTATGAAATTTTGAGATCTGAGAAAGAGTATTACTATTTGTGAGCATGCTGACACGAGCAGTCTGTGGTAGTATGGTAACTGTCACATTCTGTAATAAAGTTGGGATACATTTTAATTTATTGAAGAATGTGGCAGTACCCCACTGCCACATGCAATGCTGATGGATAAGCTCTGCTTAGAAATAGCATTATTCGAGAAAGAAATGGGATTATGAAAACAGGGATTTGGTGTTGGTAATTTGGGTTGATCAATTAATGATGGCAGTAGTGATGGATATGGAAGTTGGGATATTTATGGAGGTGGTGATTTTTTGCATTGCCATGTCAGTGGGACTGTCTTTGGAGGCCAGATTCCTCGTAGTTGATAGTAAAGGTAGAGGTGGCGGTTTTCGTAATAACTGGTAATCATGTGCAAGGGGTGGAAGTTGATTTTTAGGATGTTGTGGTTGGGTAGAGGCGGATGATGGAGATAACACAGTGGAGATTTGAGTTGCTGAGGGATCATGTAGAATCTACTGGATATTTTATGTGATTGTGAGACCAATTCTTGACTTTATGGGGAAAGAGAATTAGAGCACTAGAAGTAATTTCTGGACTCTGGAGTGTCAAATAGAAATGTCATAGTCAAGTAGTTCAGCCGATGTATGATGATTCTTGTTACCTTTAATAGACAAAAAAGTTAATGTGCTTTAAGGCTCCTCTTAAATAGAACAGGTTCAGAATAATCATGTGTGGATATTCTTTGAATTATGTCTCTCTGTACTTAATACCTTGTCTGTTCACACTTTCCTGAAATTTATTTTGCTTTTGTTAACACTGCACTTTATGAAAATAAGCATCTCTGACATTGGAAACTTATACAAATTTCCTCATAACTTGGATGCAGAATTAAGTCAAGAGGAGTCGGAAGATGTTCTTTTCAAGGAGGTCCGCTCTTTAGTTTTATGAAGTTTTTGTTTCTCTGTATTACAATATCTCTTTAGACATGCCAACTAATACTTGTTTCTCTGTATTACAATAGCTCTTTAGACATGCCAACTAATACTTTGTCCTGTTACCAACCTTTCATAAATGCGGTTTCCCACCAATTTGCGATCCTAAAGGTTGGACTTGAAAGTAATTTTCCTCCCACTGTATGTCTATGTCATGGGGCCAAAGATGTATGTAAATATGCTTCAAATGCAGGTGGAAAGGATTCTTCTAGGATTAGGAATTCTGTTTTCCTCGTTTAAGGAAAAGAAATGTCTAGTTAGAACCTGACCATATTGTGCAATGGGGTCCAGGGATGGGGTATTCATGAAAGCTGATATGANTGTCTGTCTAGTTATCCTGAAAGTAACCATTCGTCCCCTGGATGTAACTGGCTATACACATGCTTACATACCGGCTACTTGACTAGATTATTGTTGTAGAATCTTCTGAAAATATCACAAGCTTATGATTTTTCTCGTATCTTTTTTTGGTGCAAAAGGTCATATCGTGTAGGTTAGAATCACGAGCTTGTCATGAAACACCAGATGGTAGGCGTTCGAGTTCTAGTTTTTGGCAATAGTCTGGGTAGTGGTGGTTTTAGTTTGAGCATTAGAAAGCTCAGTTCTTTTCATGTGTCCATGGGATAGGGTGTTTTGAAGAATGGAAATAATCTCAACTGACGACCAATAAAGTAAAAGGAAAGATGTGATCCTTTAGCAATCCTCTTTGGGTTAGCTGCATTTATACCCCCTCATTTTACCTTTAAGTACTAACACTTTATTGAGCATTGTAAAATTATGACTCATACTTTAGTTTCACTGGTAAATTTTTATGTTTTATAAGTATTATGGCTGATAACTCACGCATCCAGTTTGACTTCTTTTTTATTGTAAAACCGTGTATCAAATTTGCCGAGGTATTGTAAAATTGGGTTTGTTTTTTCCTTGCTATTTTGCAATCTTGGTATTGTTGTGACTAGAATATGGCTGTAAACTATGGAATGATTTCACACTATCAGTTTGGGGGGAAAAAAGGGAATACTCAAACAAACCATCAAATCCTCATTTTGAGACCTCTTCTAGAGCCCATACGAGATAGCCTCGTGTCATTTCCAAAATATGTGAGGTCCAAAGTGAGAAAATATGTTTAGTCAGCCAACATTTTGACCACTTCTATCCCGAAATAATTTATGGCGCAGCTTATGGTTGCAATATTTGATATGTTACAGTTGAAAGAGGTTTGACGGAGCTGAGGAAATTGAGCATAGAACAGCAGCTGTGGGAGGCATCCCGAAAAGAGATTGGCCTACCGTCTATTGCCAATGGCAAACCAGCTCCAGAATCAGAAAGCTCGCCTTAATAGATTTTAAGCCAATCAGTTTGTTTCGTTCTTCCTTTTTCTTGATCCTACAAGATTATTTCGTTAGATTCTGCAAGTTTTTGATACCCGGAACAAAGTTTCAAATATGTAATTAAGCCTTTTGTATGATAGATCAAATGGTAGAAAATTTGATTGATTGCCATGTATTTGGGATTTTGAAAACGCATCTGGTTTCCAGTTATATGAGCTTTGTGACAAAGAAAATTCCATTTTTACCCATTCTTTTTGTTTACTTGTCTTATAAAACAGAGAGATAATTATTGATAATTATTTAGGGCATTTTTAGTAGTGATTATGAGAATGATTTTTTGACCGTTGAAGAAAAAAGTGGATTCCACTTGTGAGTGAAGATAATAAATTTACTTAACTGTGTTCTCTTAATTTTGATCCTTGCTGCTGCTAACCATGTAAGCATTTATTTGTTTTTTCATACACAGAATTAGACATCATCTTCCTTTCTTCTGCTTTAGCGGAAAATGGAAATATTTGTTGTTAATTTCATGATGATTATCAATGTGACCTACAAAATATAGTGATTAACACTAACACAGAACAAAAAACAATTTTGTTTATTCAAACTTTCATGCTTCTCACACCAACACCAATATGGGATCCAATGTAGTGCCATCTAATCGAGAATGGAATATTACACGAAAGTGGATTGCTCCCTGTTACTAACCTGAGCTATTTATATTTGCTACAGTTGGCTAAATGAAAATGGAAATAAATATAGACCTGTTTGTTTCTCATTATTTGTCCATTAAAATGAAAAATATGATTGTTATTAATGACATCAAACCATCATATTTGACTTTCTATCTCTTATGTGGAGCTCATAACGATTATATTTTTCATTCTTATTTTTACATTAATGTGTATCAAACGGGCCATACTAGTTTTCTTGGACTTGAGCCCCTTTACTGGAAAGGACATATCCTGAAAACTAAAAAGTAGAATGTTGTTGGAAAAAGTTTTTTTAGGTAATTGAATGAACCCATTCTGATAGGTTAAAAATAGGAAAAATTACAGTGGCAATCTCTAACCTTTCATTTTTTTTGGCAGACTTTACACTAAAATTCACTTTGTGCTATCCACGGTCCCAAACCTTTCAAAAATATGTACATGTGGTATAAATAGATGGAAACCATCTATTTGACCGTTAGTTGACCAATAAAATTGAACTTTGGCCAATTTTGACCAATATAAAAGGGTAAAAGGATAACTTTGTTATTTAACCTTATAAAACAATTAAAATAAATAACAAAAGCAAAATAAAAATAAAAGGAAAAAAACTATTCATGTCTTTCTTCACCCCACGCACCCCCACCCTATTCCAAGGAAATACATGGAAATAGCCTTTAAAAAAGGCCCACTTTTCCAAAATGACATTTGGTCAATTTACATACCAAAAATGCCCTCCATTTGGATATTACATAATAAGACACTATAATATAGAAATCCTCTTTTTTAATCTTTAAAATTAAATATTGGTTGAAATTTGATAGTTTTTATTTGATTTATTTGATTAATACTTTTAATTTGATTTATTTGATTTTTTTCGCTCTAAGTAACCCCCCCTTATTGTTATCTGAGTCATAGAGATCATGCGAAAACCTATAAAAAAATAGATTACTTGAAGAAATAAAAATCTTTAGATTAACACTTAGATTTTATATAAGTTTAAGAAATAACAGATTAATTATTAGAAAATTAAAGGAATATTTAGATTATACATCTTTAAAATAATAATTGATTATAATACACAAATATTTACATCTTGATAAGAGCATAGAGATCATGGAAATTAAAATAAGAAAAATAGATAATTATTTTTGAACCTTTTTACAAAGATGTTTAATTGAATCAAAGTTTCATACTTTAGGTTCACAAATAGGACTCAAGTGAATCTAGAAAAATGATGATGAAAGCATAATACTTATCATTTGAGCTTATGATTTTAGATGGTCCAAAATGATTCATGTGAAGAAATTGAACATATTTTTTAGTCAAAGAGTATTGTTTAAGTTAGAAAGAACTTTTCACTTGTTTTCTAAATTGACATGCATCATAAATTTTCTCTTTCTCAAATTTCAAATATGGCATACATTTAACAAAACAATTTTTGAAAATATTTGAAATTAGGTTTGTGCAAACATGATATAATCTTCTACTCCAAAATCAAGTATCTTTTAAATTTGATAAACACTTTTCTTTACTTTCAAACTCAATATTTATGACATAAACATCCTTATTTCGCTTCCTATAAACATCATCTCTTTTGATGTACTATCCTTAATAAGGCATTTTGGAATAATCAAATTTGATATGATAAGATTTATAAAAAAATCACTAAAAGCTAAATAGATTATGTTTAATATTATTTCCTAAGAGAACATTTTTCAACAAAGGGAGACGGGTGATTACAAATAATTTCAATGATTTTTTTGTTGGCATTATTTTCAAATGTATCATGACCACTATCTTTCTTTTTGAAATTGTCAATAAGATTGAACAATTGATATCAAAACATAATAAACCACATTATATATCATAGTATATTTCAAATACATAAAACTTGATTTATGCTCAACTAGATGTCCTCTTGAAAGATACAGACGTCTACATAGGAAAGTTCCAATTTTTTGTCGATCCGGACGATGGAATTCGGATGTCCATTTCCCCATTTTCAGTAAATTTTTGAATTTTGTGATCATAAAGGCACAATGCAACAGTTTTATCAACCAAAAAAAAAAACATAAACATATTAGCCGTATATTTCAATTTCACCTAGAATTTCCAAACCTCTTCAAATATGTGAAAGTTTATCAAGAACTAGAGGCTTAATAAAACTATTGGCCAATTGATTTTCTGTGTAGCTAGTAAATTAAAGTGGGTATGCTAAAGACCTAATGTCTTAGGGCTACTAAGATATCTAAACCACTTTTTGGTACAAAGGTGTTTTTCTTTACAATTAAATTAAAATATAGCACATAAGCACATGTTAAGGGTGTGTTTGATAGGTGTTTTTATGTAAAAATGTATTTTAGAATAGTAAATTGACGTGAAATGTGTGGTTGAAAAATAATGAAAAGTTTTTGATTTACGTATAATATTATTTTAATAAAGAATGTGGTTAAAAAGAAAAGAGAGAAAAATGCATTTTGAAGAAAATAACTATCAAACGGGCTCTAAATAAAATATCGGGTCAACTAGCGGTTAAGTAAAAGGAATTCGATCATACTTTGATATTTTGTTATGTTCACCAATATACCTTGACCATCCAATTTGATTGATGAACACTTTGGAGTGTTTATTAGTTTTAATTCTTTCGTTTTGAACTTCATTTTTTCTTTTTGAGAATAGAGCTTGTTTCCCTATCATGTCCTCAAACATCCACTACCTAAAGATCGTTTGCTCTTTATTTTCCTTGGTACCTACAAAATAATTTTATTTTTGTTCTTTGGTACTCATACAACTTTGGGTCCTTGGTAGTTAGTGTTAGCGGACTTTTAATCCGATTTGTAGTTGCCTTCAAGTGCAACCCCTTTTTAATTGAACAATTGTAAGTTACATGCCCATTTTTATTGCAAAAATTACATGTGATATTTGAAACGGGGGAAGTAGAGGTTTTGACAAAAAAAATTTCAAAAATCCAATTTCTCCTTTATCAAAAACACATTTTTGTTTAACGAGCATTAAATCAAAAATTTTCTTGCCTTGAGTGAATTTGTGAACAATTTGAGTCAAATCTAAAATATTTTCTGGTAAAGAGGAATTCTCCTTAATTAAAGAATCATAGTTGACTTGTTTTTCAAAATTATTTTGAGCTTGTAAAAGTTTCTTTACCTCTTTTTCTAATAAAGAATTTTTCTTTTTTGAGAGCAAGTTTTTCAAATTCTTCAAGAAGTTCATCATATGAGATTGATAATTCATCATATAAAGAATTGTCGTTTGTATTTACTTCGTTTTCAATGGCCATAAAGCACATGTTGATAACTTCTTCTTAATCATAATTTTTTAATGCGATCATCATCGCTCTCATCCCATGTTAAATGCTTTCTTTTTGATAAAGTTGTTCTTCTCTTCCTCCTTTTCTTCTTTCTTTTTGAATCGACGATTGTTGTGAAAACCTTTCCATTTCTTAACGAGAAGAACTAGATCATCAACTTCTTCATCATTTATACTTTCGCTTGAAGTGCATTCATCAACTACGGATTCTAAAGCAATTTGGCGCCTTTTCCTCTTCTTTGCTTTTCATTGTTTTCTCCTTTGTCTCGGTGGGATTTAACTCATATGTCATCAATGTTCCATAGTGCTCTTCTAATGGATATGTATTGATATCTTTGGTATTTTCTATCAACATTCTCAACTAGCTCCAATCATCTTAGAGAGAGACATAAGCATTTTACTCACAAGTTCACCGTTAGTAAATTTTCGATTAAAACTTTCGAGGCCATTAACAATATTAGTGAAGCGGGTAATCATATCGATAACAAATTCATTTCGCTTCATAAAGAAATTTTCAAAATCTTTAACTAAGAGATCTATCTTAGTTTCTTTCACTTTGCTAGTCCCAACATGAGTGACTTTTAGTGCATGCCAAATATCATATGCGGAATCACATGTATTAATATGATTAAATTCATTTCTATCTAAGACACAATAAAGTATGTTTTCGGCTCTAGCATTCAATGTAGTTTTCTTTTACCTTCATCATCATATTCTTTCCTAGGCTTTGAAATTAATTGATCCGATTTACCTTCCACTTTAATAATCTTTTTTGGCACATGGGGGCCAAATTCAATAACTTTCCCAAACATTATAATCTATTTATTGTACATTAATCATCAATCTAGCTTTCAGTAGAATGCCCCTCAAGATTTTGAAAATAGTGGTTAGCCATTATTCAAGATTGTGAAATCTTTAGGAATGAGCACCTTGCTCTGATACCAATCGAAAGCCCATGAATAGTTAACCAAGAGGGGGTGAACTGGCTTTCAAGACTATTTCGAAAATTAATTCTAGATTTAAACTAATGTGATAGCAGATGAAACAATTAGACAAATATGCACAAATACACACAAACACAGAGTCAAATAAGAACAAGTAATGAGCACAATATAAAAGCGATAAATAAAAGAGATAGAGATGATGCAAACGATATAATTTTGGAGGTTCGATCCAAGGCAATGATCTACGTCATCCGTTACCAAGCTCTC